CTCGGTACCTCCTGGTCCTCCTCTTCCTCAATGGGTTCTTTTTCACTGCCTCGCTTCCTCTGTGCCGTCTTCTTCTACTTACCTCCTCAAAGAATCCTCTTTTTTTCTTCTTCCCTCCACCACCCTGTCCTCGACCTACTTTCTTCATCTACTCTGTTCCTCCACCTTCTTCGATGCTAACTCCTTTGAGTTTCTCCATTTCCATCTCCTCTTCTACTCCTGCATCACCTTTTTTCCTCCAGGGTCTCCCTCTGGCCACACCTCCCTGTCCCTCCCCCTCACGGTCACGGTCCTCCCGTTATTCATCGATTTGCTCGAGCGGGCCCAGTAGCGTCTCCATTTTGAGACTTGTTGTTACTGTGTTTGGCATATTGAATATATCACGGGTAGCTTGCCAGATTCTGCCGTGCAGGCGAGATACTCTCAGCTTGCCGGGCTCTCCAAGAGGGGCAGAGGAATCGAACCTGGGTTGGCTGCGTGCAAGGCAAACGCCCTACAGCTGTGCTATCTTGTCCCTCCCCCCTCACAAATTCCATTCACAAATTCACTCCCACACCATCTTCTGAGGTCCCCTTCATCTTCTTCTGACATTTTTCTCCTTGTAGTCACCCCGCTCTTCTTTCCTTCTCCTGCTCCGCCTGTTTACTTCTTCTTCCCTTCTCCTCCTCCTTCTTCTCTTTTCTCTGTACCTCGATTTCCTCTTGTTCTGATATCATCCATGTCCATTTACAAATCCAGCCTCCGGAGTCTGCCACCTTTCAGTTCTTCTCATTTCCACTCGTCCTGGAACTCCTCCTCCTCTTCTATTTTTCTCTCGCTACCACCTCCTCCTCAACCTGTTTTCTACCTCCTCCTCCACCAACTCCTCCTTTTGGCTCCTTGCCTCCAATTCTGCATCTTGTTTGGATGTTGCTTCTTCTTTTTCACCACTCTGCCTCCACTGTCTGTTGCTCCTCATTCTTCTACTTACCTCTCGTCCACGAACTCATCCCCCCGTCTTTTCTTCTTCCTGTCACCTCCTCTTCCTCTGCATCTTTTCTCCCTCCTCCAATTCCTCCTTTTAGCTCCATACCTCAAAATTCTCCTCTTGTCTGACATGTTCCTTTTTTTCTTACACCACACTGCCTCCATTGTCTCCTGCTCTTCAGTTCTTCAACTTTACTCTTGTTCTCAAACGTATCATCCTCATCTCTCTTCTTTCCTCCACCACTTCCTCCACCAGTTCTCTTTCTCCCTGTTCTCCTCCTCCTCCTCCTCCTTTCAGCTTGGTACCACGTTGTACTGTCTTCCTCGACGGGTTCCTTTTAACTGTGTCGCCTCCTCTGTGTGGTCTTCTTTTTTTCTACTTACCTATGCTTGAAATCATCTTCTTTTCTTCTTCCTTACACCACCCTGTCCTCTACCTCCTTTCTTCATCTGCTCTGCTCCTCCACCTTCTGCGATGCTAACTCCTTTGAGTTTCCTCCATTTCTGTCTCTTCTACTCCTGCATTGCTTTGTTTTCCTCCAGGGTCTCCCTCTGGCCATACCTCCCTGACACTCCCCCTCACAAATTCACAAATTTACCCAGTCCCACAACTACTTCTGAGGTCCCCTTTATCTTCTCCTAACATTTTTCTCCTCGTCATTGTCCTGCTCTTTTCTTTTCCCTGCCACCACCTCCTCCAATACCTGTTTTCTTCTTCCCTTCCTCCTCCTCCATCTCCTCTTTTCTCCGTACCTCGAATTCCTCTTGTTCTGAAATCCTTCAAGTTCCATTTTCAACTCCAGCCTCTGGAGTCTCCTGCCCTTCAGTTCTTCTCATTTCCTCTTGTTCTCGAACTCCTCCTCCTCTTCTTTTCTTCTCCCACCACCACCTCCTCCTCCACCTGTTTTCTCCCTCCTCCTCTTCCAACTCCTCCTTTTGGCTCCTTGCCTCCAATTCTGCATCTTGTTTGGATGTTGCCTCCTTTCTTTTTCACCACTCTGCCTGCACTGTCTGCTGCTCCTCATTCTTCTACTTACCTCTTGTCCACGAACTCCTCCTCCCCTTCTTTTCTTCTTCCCGCCACCACCTCCTCCTCCGCCTGCTTTCTCCCTCTTCCTCCTCCAACTCCTCCATTTGGCTCCGAGCTTCCAATTCCTCCTCATGTTCAGATGTTGCCTCCTTTCTTTTTCACCACTCTGCCTCCGTTGTCTCATGTTTTTCAGTCCTTGAAGTTACCTCTCATTCTCAAACGTATCATCCTCTTCTCTATTCTTTCCTCCACCCCCTCCTCTGCCATCGTTCTCTTCCTACCCATCCTCTTACTCTTCTTTCTGCTACATACCTCCTGGTCCTCCTCTTCCTTAATGGGTTCTTTTTCACCTCACCTCCTCTGTGTCGTCTTTTCTTCTACTTACCTCCTCTAAAGAATCCTCTTCTTCTCTCCACCACCCCGTCCTCCACCTCCTTTCTTCATCTACTCTGCTCCTCCACCTTCTTTGATGCTAACTCCTTTGAGTTTCCTCCATTTCCGTCTCCTCTTCTACTCCCGCATTGCCTTTTTCCCCCTTCTGGCCACACCTCCTTGTCCCTCCCCTAACATATTCCATTTACAAATTCACCTACTCCCACACCCACACCTTCTTCTGAGGTCCCCTTCATCTTCTGACATTTTTATCCTTGTTGTTACCCTGCTCTTCTTTTCTTCTCCCTGCCACACCTCCTCATTTTTCTCCTCCATCTCCTCCTCTTTTTCGTACCTTGTATTCCTCTTGTTCTGATGTCATCCATGTTCCATTTTCAACTCCAGCCTCCGGAGTCTCCTGCCCTTCAGTTCTTCTCATTACCACTGGTCCTCAAACTCGTCCCCCTTTTCTTTTCTTCTCCCGCTACCACCTCCTCCTCCGTCTGTTTTCTACCTCCTCCTCCTCCGTCTGTTTTCTACCTCCTCCTCCTCCGTCTGTTTTCTACCTCCTCCTCCTCCAACTCCTCCTTTTGGCTCCGTACCTCCAATTCCGTCTCTTGTTCGGATGTTGCTTCATTTTTTTCCCCCACCACTCTGCATCCACTGTCTGCTGTCCCTCAACTTCTACTTAACTCTCATTCGCAAACTCATCCTCCCTTTCTTTTCTTCTTCCTGCCACTACCTCCCCTTCTGCCTCTTTTCTCCCTCCTCCTTCTCCAAATCCTCCTTTTGGTTCTGTATCCTCCTCTTGTCTGACGTTATCCTTTTCTCTCTTACACCACTCCGCCTTCACTGTCTCCTGCTCTTCAGTTCTTCAACTTAACTCTCGTTCTCCAATGCATGGTCCTCGTCTCTTTTCTTCCTCTACTACCTCCTTCACCATTGGTCCTTTTCCTCCCTGTGCTCTTCCTCCTCCATTTGGCTCAGTACCTCCTAGTCTTCCTCTTCCTTGTGGGTTTTCACTGCTTCGCCTCCTCTGTGTCATCTTTTTGTCTACTTACCTCCTCTAAAGAATACTCTTCTTCTCTCCATCACCCCGTCCTCGCTTCCTTCCTTCATCTACTCTGCTCCTTTGCCTTCTCCGATGCTAGCTCATTTGAGTTTCCTCCATTTCCATCTCCTCTTCTACTCCTGCATTGCCTTTTATTCCTCCAGGGTCTCCTTCTGGCCACACATCCCTGTACCTCCCCTTACAAATTCCATTCACAAATTCAGAAAATCATCCACTCCCACACTTTCTTCTAGGTCCCCTTTATCTTCTCCTGACATTTTTCTCCTCGTCATCATCCTGCTCTTCTTTGCTTCTCCCCTCTGCCACCTCCTCCGCCTGTTTTCTTCTTCTTCCCTCCTCCTCTTTCTCCTTTATCTCCTTCTCTTTTCTCAGTACCTCAAATTCCTCTTGTTCTGATGTCGTCCGTGTTCCATTTTTAACTCTAGCCTCTGGAGTCTCCTGCCCTTCAGTTCTTCTCATTTCATCTTGTTCTCGAACTCCTCCTCCTCTTCTTTTCTTCTCCTGACACCACCTCCTCCTCCACCTGTTTTCTCCCTCCTCCTCTTCCAACTCCTCCTTTTGGCTCCTTGCCTCCAATTCCGCTTCTTGTTCTTGTTCTTGTTGCCTCCTTTCTTTTTCACCACTCTGCCTGCACGGTCTGCTGCTCCTTATTCTTCTACTTACCTCTTGTCCACGAACTCATACTCCCTGTCTTTTATTCTTCCTGCCACCACCTCCTCCTCCGCCTGTTTTCTCCCTCCCCTTCCTCCAACTCCTCCTTTTGGCTCTGTGCCTCCAAATCCTCCTCTTGTTCTGACGTTGTCCTTTTCTCTCTTACACCACTCTGCCTCCATTGTCTCCTGCTCTTTAGTTCTTCAACTTACCTCTCAGTCTCAACTGCATCGTCCTCTTATCTCTTGTTCCCTCCTCCACCGTCGGTTCTCTTCCTCCCCGTCCTCTTCCTCTTCAGTCTTTCTGCTCGGTACCTCCTGGTCCTCCTCTTCCTTGATGGGTTCTTTTTCACTGCCTCACCTTCTCTGTGTTGTCTTCTTTTCTTCTACTCACGTCTCCTCGAAATCATCCTCTTTTCTTCCCTCCACCACCCTCTCCTCTGCGTCTTTTCATCATCTACTCTTCTCTTCCATTGCTAAGTCCTTTGTGTTTTGTCCATTTCCATTTTCTGTTACATTGCTCCATCCTTTTCATTCATCATCTCCTCCTTTCCTTCCTTCTCTCTTAGTTTCTACCTTTTTCCCTAACCCATATCCTCTTCTTTTGACTTCCCCCATGTTCCTAGGGTATGATGGTTTGGTATCAAACTGTGTTGCGTTCTCAAAATTCATACAGGTAGTCATGAGTGTGCTTTAGTGTGTGTTTATGAGAGCAAGTCTGTAGTCCTTATCTACCTGCAACCGGTTTTTTTCCCCCCAGGACTGCGCTGGTTTAGGTTGCAAAGGTGGCACGGGTGTTCGATCGTGACCCTTGCTAAGAAGGTGGAATGGGGGGTATGGGGGGGGGACTAAGATCCCCTCTACATGCTTATCAGCTGGGAGTGGAATGTTTCCCTGTGATTTCTCCTAGTCTCTGTTCCCCAAGAAGAATTACGAGTGCCTGATCAGCTGTGCATTCCTGCAGTCCATCCTGACGGTGAAGCAGGGTGGCTGTCCGGCTCCTGAGAAGGCCAGTGGCTTCGCGGCTGCCTGCGTGGAGAGCTGTGAGGTAGATGGCGAGTGCTCAGGCGTGAAGAAATGTTGCTTCAACGGTTGTGGCCATACCTGCCAGGTGCCCAAGACTCTCTACAAAGGTACAAAGGAGAACCCAGGGTGTCGAGTGTCAGGAAAGGCCAGGATAGAGATGGGGAGGGCTGCAATTTAGCCTCATTCAAGTCATATAGGGTAGGGGCCTGTTGTGCAGAGCTGAGTGCATCATTCCCTGGGGAATGTTATAGAGCACCGCCAGGGCTGACTGTGCACAATGTCCTTTGGTGACTCATTCGGTCCCCGGATTTGCGTGGAAGTGTGGGTGCAAAGCCTGGGAAGGAAGGGGCTGGTGCTGCAGTTGAAATGCACCCTGAAGGCCCAGGGGGGCAGGCCTCTGGGGCCCAGGGAGAGCTCTGGGGAGACGAGGCATTCTGATGAGTAGCTTGAGGCCTGAATTTCACCTCCCCTCTCCTGCTGGAACCCTGTCCTCTGGCACTGGGGAAGCTGTGGCAGTTTCCTGGCATTGTGCTGTTATGGAGTGAGCGTGTGTGTGTGTGGGGGGTGGTGCAGCATCCCCTTGATACACCCCATTCTCTCATTCTGTGAGAACCAGACGCTCCAGCCAGGTTGTGCGGCCACTGTTTGGGGCTGGGCTGGCAGGGGGAAGGGAAGACATGCTTCTCTCTCTCCTGCTGAGCACTCGCTTTCACATGCACACACACTCAGGCATACACATATGCTCACACTCACACACACATTCTTCCATTCCATATGCTCACAGACTAATAACATTATCTCACACTCAAGCCCACACCTGCTTGCACTCATACACATGCTCTCACACAAGGTCAATCAAATACAACATGCTCACATACCCTCATATAATCATACATGCACATATGCACATGCTTGTACCTGCACACTTGTTCATATTCACACACGTGCTCATGAACTCATGCTCTCACTCACATGCATCATCAGATACTCCACACAGGTGCTTTTACTGTCATGCACAGTCACACACTCATAAACACACTCACACACCCTCTCACGCACGTGCTTAGTCACACAGTCATGCTGACACTATAGTCACACATGCATGCTCATACACATTCATGCACTCACACCCAAACACACGCTGACATTCATACTCACGCTCATGTTCACTTCCTCTCACACACTCGCTCACATATACCCTTGCACAGTCACACTCATGATTGTGCACTCACATACTCATGATCACATACATATGATCCCATTCTCCACATATCCTCACACACATTCACTCATATCCACACACACTCATAGTTTGCTTACAGTCATGCTCCCAGATGCTCGTAGTCATACACATGCTCACATACACATGCTCACATACTCACACATGCTCATATATTCTCTCACACATATACACTCAAACATGTTCACAGACTTCTGCTCACACACTCATGCTCACACGTGCTTCTGCTCATATACGTGCCCACACACTCAAAACAGGCTTGATACACTCCACAACTATGTTCACACACTCACATGCTCCCACACATCTGCTCACAAGTGCCTACACACAGTCACACACACTCTGACATGCTCACAACCCTCGAGGCCAGTGTCGTGATCACACGTAAGGCCACATCCCAGGAGGGCTGTGTCTCAGGTCAGTGTGGAGTCCCTCACTCAGTGCGGACCCCCGTCCGGCTTCTGGCATTGTGGCCCGGGAAGCCATATGTGGTGCCTGCCTGATGTCTCAGGTGGGCGCTGGCAAAGCTGGCTTCAGTGTAGCTCTCCAGGAGAAGTCGGGCTCCCCTCTGGTGACTACTGCTCCTATGATGGATTTATAGTGTCATTGTTCTCCTGTCTCTTATTACCAACCTCATAAAATCACTTGCAAAATAGAAAGCCACCGAGTTGGTAAGAGTAAGATGATGAATTCTTTTGTGTTATTAAGAACCATTTGCTCTTTTACTGTTAGGGAAAAAAAAGAAGATAATTTTACCCTTAAGGATGCTTTTAGAATGAAGGTTGAAAACCCATTAGTAAAACCTTTGTGTCTTAAATGTAGGGCATTTTACAGAGGGAACAGAAATTAAAATAGGTCTTTTATGCAAAAGCCTGTTGGGATGCATTTCAAGTAGGCGGAGGGAAAAAAGAAACTGTTTAAGGAGGTCCGTGGCATAGATTCCTTACACAAAGATAGGGACGGGCTGGATTTGCTTTGAAAATGCCTGAGTCTGCACCACTCTGTGCCCCTGAGGAATTCTGTGGGCACCTTGCCCTTGGTCTGGGAGCACAGGGGCAGCTCCGGCTAGGGTGCGGACAGTGGCTGCTCCCACCAGCTGACTCACACCTGGCCCGCCTGCATGCGTGTGCTCACACACACACAGACATGCTCATACACACTCAGACACAGGATCACACATGGTCATGTACAACACACTGACATCCTCATACACACATGCCGACAGGCTCACACAAACACATGATCATGTTTGCACATGCTCTCATGTTCACACACGCTCTCACATGCATGCTCACATATACACATGCTCACATTCATGCCCACACATGCTTCCAAACTTAGAGTCTTATACTATTCACATACACACACTCATGCCCACACATGCTCTCATTATCACACTCAAAAAATACTCACATATACATACTCACACGCTTATGTGGACAGCTACTCTTATATTCTCACAATGCTCAAACTCTCACACACTCTCATGGCCACACTCCCATGCTCTCTCACAGACACTCATGTCCACACTCATGGGCAAGTACCCATGCCCACATACTCAGACATACTCTCACATTGCTCCCACATACTCAGGTTCCACAAAAGTACCCATGCTCACACATTCAAACGTACTTGCACAGTGCTCAACACACTGATGCCCACACACTCAGACATACTCTCACAATTCTCACACACTCATGTCCACACAAGTACCCATGCCCACACATGTTCCCATGCTCACACACTCAGACGTACTCTTATAATGCTCACACATACTCTGTTCACACAAGTACCCATGCCCAAGCACTCAGACATACTCTCGCAATGCACACATACACTCACTCATGCCCACACACGCTCCCATGCTCACATACTCAGACGTATGCACATACACATTCTCTCATGCGTGCATGATCCTACACACATGCTGTCACATGTGTTCACACACTCCCCCACACACAGAGCCACTCAGTGTGAACTGAGCTCTCCCGCCTCAGCCCCTCCATGCCTGCACCTCGACCCCACTTCTCACAACAGCTCCCTGGCCTACCTGGGGTTAGTGTCCTGGTTGCCTGCCCGGGGAAGCTGCGTGCGCTGGCTCTTCCCAAGCATGTGTGTGATGCAAACAGTTTCTCAGAAGCATGTGGTCGTTCGTGAGCACGGAATCCGAGTGACACCCCAACAGCTGTCCCAAGCAGAAGCCTGAGGAAACTTTTTGGGAGAAGCGTGAGCAAGGCGCAAGGCAGAACAGAACACCCTGATTACTGTTTCCTGAGGAAAGTGACATTCCCCCAGAGCTGAGACCTCAGGCCGCTGGGCCCTGGGGACAGAGCCCACTGCCCCGCAGAGCCAGAAGCTGGTGTCCCACAGCCTGTCCCTTCTCAAGGACGTGGGGCCCCTGGTCCGCTCCCTGCATGCATGCAGGGCTTCAGCTCTGCTCTGGGGGTGCTCCCCTCCTGCCTCTTTCTATAGCCTCCCCACCCCCTGAGCACAGCAGAGAGCACAGCACAGTGCGGGACAGTTCTGCAGACACTGGACATTTCCGAGGGTCCCTCAGCCAAGTACTCACATCCAGTCTGTCTGCCTCTGGTTCTTTCCAGAACATTCTCATCCGGGCTTACCTTCACCAACTGGCTCCGGTGGGTACCTCTTTCCGGGAACTCTGGCATTTTAGGCCTTTAGAGGTGGATTAGAGTCACCGCCTTGTATAAGCGATTCTTTGTTACTGGGGCTACATCCGGTGGTCTCAGGGCTTCCCTGTGCTCTCTGCTGGCGGGGCTCTGGAGACCTTCTGGGGTGCCCAGGATTGAACCTGGGTCAGCTGAGTGCCAGGCAATGTGTTAGTGCTTGCACTTACCCTCTGACCCCACAAATCAATCGCTGAGGGTCTGGGCATGGTTCCACAGCTTTCCTGGGACCGGGTGCCAAGTTGGACAGGAGCACGGGCCGCTTCTCAGGGATGCAGGGGACGTGGCCTCTCTCTCAGCTCCCAGGGTCAGTCAGTGACCAAGGGATGCCCATCTCTGCATGGCCATCGCCAGCACTTCACCGGCCTCTTTTCGACCTTCTTGTTTGGTTTTGCACCCCTTTGATGTCACCCAGAGTCTGGTGCTGCATGTGCCTGGGTAGGGTGTGGGGGCTCTACGAGTAGCAGGCAGTGGGGACAGCAGCCGTTTCAGTCAGCCAAGCAGTTCTGCATTTCTCTGGTACCAGCGCAGCTGAGATTTTAGATGACCGATCTGTTCAAAAACCATCACAAAGGCAAAGCTTCACATAGCATAGGTCGGCCGGGAGGTCCCGGCCGGCACATCTGGTTCTGCCATCAGAGAGCTGGTGGAAGGCCGGGAGAGAGGCCTGCGTTAGGGGGCTGAGCACATCTGCAGACAATTAGGAGCCAGTGAGAGATGGGGCACAGCACCGACCCCTGCTTGAGGGGGGCCCCCATGCACCCTAATGCAAAACAGGCCCTTAGCGTCACAGGCCAATCACCAGAAGATGCGTCCTCATCACTCAAACGACTCTTGAATCCCCTGCTCTGATCGGCCAGGCCTCGCTGCTGGCGTCCCCTGGAGAGCGCTGAGATGTGAATGTTCAAGAAGGAGAGCTTGGGAGGAGGGGCTGGGCTGTTTGCAGTTCCATCACCTTTGCTGCAGAGCTGCTGTGGGCTGGCCTGTCCCGGGGTGGGCCAACATGCAGGGCTTGGGCGAGGGTACTGCTTACTGGGCACTGGGCGTTTGGCTGGAAGCTGCCCTGCTCGAGCCCTCAGGCCACACTTGGGGTGTCCCTGAGGCCTGAGGGCATCCCTGCCTGAGTGGGCAGTGAAGTGGTGGGTGCGGGTTCGGGCACGGAAGGTCACGTTGGGCAGCCTGGCCGTTGGGTTCCTGCAAGATCACAAGCATGGCCTAACAATTGCAGTGCAGGGGCTACCCAGGCCCGGGAACACTGCTGTTTCTTCATTCTGTGTCCACGGGACTTCTCTTGGTGTGCAGTGTGGACGCTGAATCCAGAGGGCTGTGCGGGATGCAGCTAGTGAGTTGTCAGCCACACACAGAGCCAGAAAGGGCAGCAGGGGCATGTGGGTGGACACGGGGCCGTTGGGAGGGGACAGTGGCTGGAGAAGGGGGTGGCATGCTCAGCAGAAGGGGCCCCACTCTCATCAGGATGGGTCCCTGTGTAAATTCCGTCAGACCTCGGGGCTGTGGCCTATCCACGTTTACAATTCAGTCCAACAAGAGGAACTGCCACAGAGAGGGATTCAGGCTTTGACTTAGGAATTCGGTGAGACTATCTCTGGGGCCAGGGGCAGACCAGGCCCGTCTTGGTGTCTCGACAGCCAGAGCAAGTGGCTTCTGGCACGGCCTCAGCTCACGATGGCGTTTGTCCTGTTGCAGGCGTACCCTTGAAACCACGGAAGGAGCTGCGCTTCACGGAGCTGCCGTCAGGTCAGCTGGAGGTCAGGTGGTCCTCCAAATTCAACGTGTCCATCGAACCGGTCATCTACGTGGTTCAGAGGAGGTGGAACCTGGGGATCCACCCGAGCGAGGATGATGCCACACACTGGCAGCTGGTGACCCAGGTGAGTGCCAACAGGGAAGGCAGGCAGCATGGCCCCTGCTCCCCAGGAAGGCCAGCTGTTCAGTACCCGTGCAATAATCCTGCCGAGGAAGGGGTGGTTGCGGGGAATAGACTGAGGCTCCCAGACACTCTGGGCTCTGGAACCGCATCATAATCCTTGACTATCGAAGCATTCCAGAGTCCCCCCATTAGTTCAGGCATCTGGAGATAAAGGGACGAGTGGCAGGAGAGGGCCTGGAGCTGAGCTCAGCGCTGTTGCTGGCTCTCTACTGGCCTCGATGAGAAAAACAACGTATTTCCTTTCATCTCAAGAACTCGGAAGCGGGCGCTGGCCCCTCTGAGGCTAGTTTTCGCAAGCAAACCTGCTTCCGTGCCATAGATTTCAGGGGATCACCCGCAGAGGGCATAGAGTGATGACTCCAGATTCTTGGCCGAGACATGAACCACCCCCTCTCCCCACCAGAGCTCACGTTTGCTTTAGGGCCACCCCCCGGGGACACTCACTGCTTGTGCACGGGCTCTGGGGGGGATAACAGAGTGCCAGAGATGGAATCCACAGACTCATACATGTGGGTGGTATTCATATACCCAGGCGCCACCCAACCTGGGGCCATCTCTCTCATCCTTCCCTTTTTTGGGGAGCATATATCTGGACGTGAGCGGCACCTTACCAGGTTGACACCGTGGTTCCTTCTTGGATGATGTGCTGTCATGGGTATGGTGTGACCATCAGCTTTCGCTTGTAGCTGGCAGGTGCAGGCTGGGCTCTGGGTGGGCTTCTGGTCCTCCTGGGACCCCGTGGCCAATCACAGCCATGATGAGAGGCAGCCGTGGGCAGAGACGAGGCGTCCTCATCTGGGGGTGCTGCACTTCCTCCATGGACGCTGGGGCTGGCACCTGCCCCTGTGCCAAGGGCTGCATCGGAAGCAGGTAGCGACCCCTCAGCCTGGTGACAGCTGGACGGCCAGTTCCTTAACACCGAGGACTGTCCAAAAGAACTGGGAACCATCCAGTGCTGTGTGTGTTCTCGCTGTACTCTGGACCAAGTCTAGCTGTGTGTGGGGACATCTGGCAGATGTCCACCTGTACTCCAGGGAGAAGGGAGCATCTCAGGTGCTGTGAGCTCCCAGAAACTCCTGAGCTTCCTTGCTCAGGTCTGGGGAGCACTCCCTCACAGCGTCCATACCCCACGGTGCACGCGGCCAGAAACACTCTCTTCCTACTGCCACGTCTCAGCCCTCCCCGTGTTAGGAGCGCCCCCCCCCCCCCCGCAAATACTGGCCAGGATGGTGCCAGGGACTGGGCCGCCTGTAAGGGTGTGGCCACAGGGAGCCCAGTGCAGGGAGAGGCGTGGGTTGCGTGGTTGTGAGTTGGGGGGACCTGGCATCATGCAAGGCTCAGGGCTGTCCATCCCCGCAGACCACAGATGAGCGGCTGCTGCTGACGGACCTGCGGCCCAGCCGATGGTACCAGTTTCGTGTGGCTGCCGTCAACGTGCATGGCACACGTGGCTTCACAGCACCCAGCAAGCACTTCCGCTCCTCCAGGGGTGAGTGTGGATAGTGAGGGGGACAAAGGCCACGTGCATCCAGGGCCTTTGGAGGACGGGGGCTAGGGCACATCCCCACCGGGGTTTACAGAAAACAAAGAATGTCGGGGCCAAGACTCTTGCTTAGCCTGTGCCCTGGGCCCTGCCTGGACACAGGGATAAGCACTTTGCTGGTCCCGTGGGGTCCGCCTGGATGCAGCATGTCCAGGAATCCACGTGGGCAAGGGGCTTGTGAAGAGTTTCCCAAAGTCGTCCCCACCAGGCTCTTCCCTGCGGGCAGCCCCCCTGCCCAGCCCTGCTGATAGCTCGTGGTTGTGAATGACAGGTCCATGCAGCAGCACTGTCAGCCCACCGTGGTGGGTGTGGCCACACACCCGTGGGGGAGGGTCCCCAGAAACTCATGGTCGCGGGATGCTCAAGACACTCAGGATGCCATGGAAGTGGGACGATCACACAGCCGGGGGCGGGGGTCGGTGCTCAGCTCCCAGCTCTGCTGCTCCTCTACGTCCTTGCCTTCTCGGATGCTTCCAGATCCGGGTGCACCCCCTGCCCCCGCCAACCTGCGGCTGGTCAACTCCACGGGCCACAATGACGGCACTGTGAGCGTGACCATTGCCTGGGACGTCCCCGAGGAGCCGGACACACCTGTCCACCACTATAAAGTGTTCTGGAGCTGGGCCACGAGCAGTAGCAAGTCTGCCGTGCCCACCAGGAAGAAGCGGAGGAAGACTGCAGGCGGGGTGAGTGGCAGGGAGAGCCGGCGCCTGGAGCTGGCCCCGATGTGCAGAGAAAGTGGCCGCAGGACCCCAGCAGTGCACTGGCAACATAGGGAGTGGGAATGGTTCCACAAAGGGTTGAAAGGCTAGGACGGGAGGGAGGGTGCTGGCCTTGCATGAAGCTGCCTGGGTTCCATTCCATACATAGGGTCCTCTGAGGCTGCCAGGAGTGATCCTTGTGTGCCAAGCCAGAAGGAAGCCCCGAGCATTTCCGGGTGGGTCCCCCAACACACACACTTAAGACATGTGCCTTACATACACCCAACCTAGGTTCGAATCCACTCATCCCACTGGGTTCTCTGAGCCCGCCAGGAGTGATCCTGGAAGGCAGAGCCAGGAGGAACCCTGAACATTGCCAGGCATGACCCATCGCTCTCTCTCTCTCTCTCTCTCTCTCTCTCTCTCTCTCTCTCTTTAGCAGTGTTGAAGTAGAAACCGGGAGAAATGAAGTCTGTCTCTCTCTCTCTCTCTCTCTCTCTCTCTCTGCAGTTAAATATAGCCCCTCATGTCCAATCACCAGCTGTAGCTCCAAATATCAGAGACAGTATCAGAATGAGCAGCAGCTGAGGCTTCACTGTGTCTGTCCTATTTAGGTCACAGAAAGACACTGGCTGGTTTCGGGAGCTAGAGGGATAGCTTAAGAGTTAAGACACTTGCCTTGCACACAGCCAAGCTGGGTTTGAATTCCGGTAGCCCACAGGGTCCCCTGAGCACCACCAAGACTGATCCCTGGGAGCAGAGCCAGGAAGCCCTGAGCATGCAAGGCGAGACACAGAGGGAACACACACACACACACACACACCAGGAAACAGCCAACATGTTGCACGTCCCCCCTCGTGTGTGATCACCAGCCATAGCTCCAGAACTCAGAGAGACAGAATGTGCAATAGCTGAGACAGTTCATGTGTCCATCCCATGTAGATGTTAGAAAGAGATTTGAGCGTCTGTGGGGCTGGGGTGATGTATAGCAGGCTAAATCTCTTGCTCTGCACACGCCGATCTGGATTCAAATCCCGACAGCCTGTGTAGGCTTGTGAGTGGGTTCCTTTCCACACAGGCTTTAGCCTTTCACCTCTACGATATGACCTTCAGCCGGCCCCTCCCTGTGGCGAGATTCTGTGCTGGCGTGTCTTGTGCCTGCCACAGCATGGTCGGTCATTAAAGGGATTGCTTTGTTGTTGGTAGGACCGTGGACCTCTCATTGATGTGTCTGTGTGTGTGTGTGTTTGCCCCCAAGTCGCAGCACGCCGTGAGCCTTGAGCACCTGCAGCCCGACTGTGAGTATAGCGTGGAGCTGCAGGCCGTGGCCTACTGGGGACAGAAGCGCCTCAAGAGCCCCAAGGTGGGCCTGCACTTCACAGCCGCCGCCAGCCCCCGTGAGTGTCCAGGGCACCTGGGGCAGGGGGGCGGGTCTCCCTACAGTGGTGAGGGAGCAATGAACTCTGCATGCTGCACTTTGATTTCTGGAGTCTTTATTAGCACCCTGCCCCTACATGGCTAGCTATCACTTTACAGATTTCACAGGAACCTCCAATCTCATTCTGGTCACCCCCGTGGGCCGTCTGTGCACAGTACCTGCTCGGGGATGAGATCATCTCGGGTGGAGATGGCGTTGAGCTGTCCACTGTGCCATGTGGCACCGCCAAGAGCCACTGCACTTAATGGTGGTTGTGTGGCTGCCTCCGAGGTCCTGCCGTCCCATAGCCAGCCAAGGGGGCCCTGCGCGTTGTTTCTGTGTGGGCGAGCGTGCCTGCACCGAGCCACCCCACAGAGGTGCCTCCTGCACTCACTCATCTCAGGGCCTCGACGCTGTGGCGCTGCTCGCACTGAGGCTTCCAACGCAGGCCACGTTTCTGGGGCTCTGTGCCAGCTGGGAGGAGCCGGGAGGATGGTCGTGTGTGCAGCTGGGCCCCGGGTGACCTTGCCGGGGACAGCTGTTGCTGCCTTTCTCCTCTCTCGCCCATGGCTTCCTTGCTCTTGGGAAAGCAGCAACTTTGGGGCAAACGAGGGGAGCCGCCAACCAGCATGGTGTGACTTGGCGCTGAGGGTTCTGATTGTATAGCTGTTGGTGTGGCTGCCTTTTCAACTGAGGGTGTCCATCGACGAGGTCTGAGGTGTCTGTGGGGAGTCAGAGGCTCAGTGCCCCTCTTTTTCCCCAATACATTTTTAAAAATTGAATCAACGTTAGATACAAAGATGTTCAAGACAGAATTTAGGCACACAGTGTGCAAGCACCCCTTCACCAGTGTCCCTCGGCGTGATGCCTCCCGCCCCCAGTGTCCGTGGCCCCAGAGCGTGGGGAGGTGACCTGCCCGTGGGGGACTGACGCTGCCGCTTTGTCGCAGATGAGACTCCAGGGAAGGGCCGTAAAGGCGCGGCCGTGAAGCAGCTGCCCTTCCACGCCCGGCGCCCCTCGCGGCCGCTGGAGATCGGGGCCCCCTTCTACCAGGACCACCAGCTGCAAGTGAAGATCTACTGGAAAAAGGCTGAAGGTTCGTGGGTGCCGGCTTTGCGTTGGCTTCAGTGGGCATGCACGCACACTCATGGTCTCGGGCTCCTGGGTAAAGTCAGGGTACGGAGGAGGGTGGGACCCCCTTACCCATCCTGCTGTTCCGAATCCCAAAGCTTGTCCCGCCTTCCCGGGTGTGGGGGGCCCCATCAGCGCTGTGAGGGCCCCAGAAGGGATGCGGCATGACCACTGCCTTCTGTGGCAGGCTGGTCTTCTGTCTAAAACACATGGAATTTCTTGCTGTCAGCCTTGTGGGTTGGTTTCTGAGGCGCCGCCTAGGTAGAGGTCAGGGGGCTGCAGGTGGTACATCTGGGGTTCCACAGGAGGGGGGAACATAGAGTTAAGAGTCCAAGGGGCCGTTACACAAGTGATGAGGGGAACAGGAGAAGCCAACCAGGTCCGCCACAGAGACAAGCCCCGGGTCACGTGTCATGGGGGCATCCTGGGGTCCGAGTTCTGTCTTGATGAACATGCACACCCCATGGCCCATGTGCCTGGCTCTGCCCGTGTGGGGCCCTGCAGAGACGAGGAGAGCCTGAGCTGCCCTCCAGGAGTGTCTGAGGCCGCTGCGAGCCAGCCACGCAGTGCCATGGACCAGCCACTTCTCCCTGTGCAGCCTTTCCCAAGGGCCGGCACAGTGCCCTTTCTATAGTTTCTGGCAAACGCAAATGGCGACAGCACAGAGGGAGCGTGTAGTCACAGCACAGCCCACAGACGATTGGTCAGTGGGGCTTCAGAGTGCCACGTCCTGGTGCCAATGCCGTCCTCTCCTCCAGTGGCCTCGTATGCAGGGACCACACAACCAAGTGAATCCCCAGCTTCCCCAACCCCAAGAAAACGTACATCTTCGCAACCTTCATTATTGGGGGTGTGTCTGAGGCTCACCCTGCAGTGCTCTAGGGCTGCTCCTGGCTCTGTGCTCGCGAGTGACCCGTCGCCCCCATGGTGACTCACCAGGTGGATCCCTGACCCAGAATCAGACTCGGGTCAGTGCCATGAAAGAGAGGCACTCGCCTACCTTGGGTAAGGCTTCATAGTCCCTGTACACGGTGCCCACCGCTGGGACTGTAGTGGAGGCCACGTGGCTGCTTCACAGCCGCCTCGGCCCTGCTCTGTGAGTGACACCAGCAGCTCCTGTCCCCCTGCCACAGTAGCTGGGCAGCTGTGAGCCTGCCGAGGCATCTAGAAGGAAATGAACACAGTGAACAATGAACGTGAGACTCTGGTCCGGAGCCCCAGAGAAAACTTAGACTCCAAACTGGGGGCCACATTCCCCAAAGCTGCCGACACACGGGGATCGGGAAGACATGAGCGCACTGCTGTGCTCAGGGAAGGCTCCTGGGGGGCTCTATGGGGTGCCACGGATGGAACCAGGGTCAGCCGTGTACAAGGCAAGAGCTGTATGTGCCATACTGTGGAGTCAGCCCCCCCAATTTTTTCCAAATGTTTCTTTTTGGGTCACCCCCGGCAATGCTCTGGGGTTCCTCCTGGCTCTGCACTCAGGAATTACGCCTGGTGGTACTCGGGGGACCCTATGGGATGCAACCCAGTTGGGCGCATGCAAGGCAGCCTGCTGTACTCTAATTTGTTTTTAAAATATTTTTTGCCAATTTCTTTTCATTTGCTTGGTTTGAGGTCACACCCGGTGATGCTCAGGTCTTACTATTGGTGCTGCATTCAGGGATCGCTCTTGGTGGTTCTCAGGGGACACCTATTGGATGCTGGGGATCAAACCCAGGTTGGCTGGGTGCAAGGCAAGCATCCTCCCTGCCAGACTATTGTTCTGGCCCACAAACTTTTTCCCCCTTTCTAAGCAGCAGTGCTCGGGTGGCCCCTTGTGTGGCTTTGCATGTTAATTCATAGTCATTCCCTCAGCCGTCTGTGGCTGTCCCTGGGGACATGGAGAGGCTCTCGGCCACAGCCCTGCCTTTGCAGCCTCTGCCCAGAGCCCGTCTGAGACGGCTAAGCTCCATCCTGCCACCTGAGGACAGGGCCCAGCCGGAGGCGTCGCTCCCAGCCTGCTCGTGGCTTGGAGATACAGGAGCAAGAGCTGGCTCAGATCAATTTTGGAGATGCATGCGGGCACAAAGCGACTCCCGAGCAGGGCGCTGTGTACAGGGGGGCAGCCTGTGCCACCCAGATGGAGTTGCAGAGGGGACGCTTGCTGTCGGCAGGCACCGGCGCTAGGGTGAGGGGCATCAGCCACTCAGGGTTGTCTGCTCTCTACTGGCAAGGCCCAACTTCTCTTCCAAACCTCCATCTGCACCCCCACCCGTCTGTCTCTCGACCTTCATCTCAACACAGTTTCCTCCTGCCCTCCTCTCCCCTCCTGCCCCACTCCTGCGAGCTGGGTGGGCACCCATGGCTGTGCCCATTGGGATCTGACCACACCCGCTTTTGCAGAGCCTGGTGTCACCCGCTACCATGTGCAGTGGCAGCCAGAGGTCTGCACCCACAATGAGACCACGGGGCCCGAGATGTCATCCGGGACCACCCAGGTGAGCCGCAGGGTCCCTGCTTGGCCCGAAGCAGGAGGAGCAGCTGCAACATCGTGTCTGTGCACCTAATCCCCAACACACACACACACACACACACACACACACACACACAGCAGGAAGCAGCATAAGCTGAGACCTGTGGCCAGACCCAGGTGGCCCTTTACTCCTCATATTAGCAGGACAAGTTCTGGGCACAGTGCATTACGTTGCAGTGCCTGCCGAGGGGATTTCATGGCCAGGCAGAGGTCACAGAACGCCCCCAGGATGGCGGGCATGAAGACAGGCCCCGACGTGTCCGCTGTGCGCCCACACTGGTCTTGGGAATGATTCTACATCAGCCAGGACAATGTGTCCGGTCTTGGTTTTCTTTTGCTGTTGTTTTTGCGGAGCGGGGCAGCGAGCTTTGGGGCCACACCTGGTGGTGCTCAGGAACTATTTCTGGCTCTGTGCTCAGGGGATTGACTGTGTCACCTGGGATTGAACCCGGGTCAGTGGCTGCCCTCCAGCTCCCCAACGACCAGGCATGCTCCAGAGTGCCGTGTGCACTGAGGCCAGTGACATGGGGTCAAGAGTGAGCTGCCTGCTCCGTCCCACCCTGGGCAGGAAACAGGACACTGCCGGGGCCACAGCAGTCTCTGCTGTCAGCTCGTTCTGACAGCTCCTGATGACAGACCAGTTGGTGTGCCCTGTTCTGGGACACAAGCAAGTGGTGTATTCAGTGTTTGGGGTCCATCCCAAGAGCGAGGGCTGACGGGTCTATAAAACACGGCTAGAGCAACAACACGTGGCCGGGGTGCTCACTCAGCACCCTGGACTTAGAAACTGTTTTTTTTTTTTTAAATTTTGAGATCACAGAACTAAACTGAAATTTATTCACGTTCCATTCTGACATTTCTTACTGACACGCAGAAATAAAATTTCATGAGCCCAAACCCAAACAGACTACACACAGGGAAAAGCTGATGAAACTAAATATGAATCCCAGTGTTAACAGCTGAATGGAGAATGGAATTTTTTTTTTAATTCTTCGTGGGTGATAAACTTGCGTAGAAACAGAACACTTACAAATTGTTCAAAACCTGGAATCACTGCCCAGAAATGACACAGTTGGATCATGGGAAAAACAGCAGACAGGGTGATGAGTGAGCGCCCACCCCATGCCCTGGGTGCCTGACCCCGCTGGGAGGAGCCTCTGAGCATCGCCAGGTGCGGCCACTCTCCCGTGACCCCCCACAGAAAAATCTGGAATAATGCAGCCCATTTTGTGAAAAGTGTCTAGGCCAGTTTTTGGAGGGAGGGGCAGAGCTCGGGGCACCTCAGGGCATAGTGGCGGGTGCGGGCTCAGCCTGGTGGGATGCAACTCGGCTTCTTTTCGGGGCTTTTGCCAGACCAAGACACAGTGCAGAGTCCCCGGGGCTCACCCGAGCTGGCCATACCACACAGCGTAAGGCTGACGTTTTCTCAGAAAACTATGGGTCCACCCAAGGCTTGATCCCTGACACGCCAAGAGCAGGGGACAGAAAAGGTGGGTTTCCTCTGGAGACCAGGCTCTTTCTCAGAGACATCTGTGTGCAGTTTGGGCCACATGTGCAGGGCTCAGGCCTTACTCCTGCTTCTGTGCTCAGGTCTCCCTCCTGGAGGGCTCCAGGGATACAGAGAGCGGGAGATGGAACCCGGGTCAGCCCTGAGCAAGGCGAGCCCCTTCTCACTGTCCTGTCTCTGTGCCCCCGCAACACACACACACACACACACACACACACACACACACACACACACTGCCCGAGGCCAGCTCGGGCTTCCCACGGAAAGACAAACAGCTCTGTCCCAGGCTCTGTGGCGTGGCCCGGGTTACAGCCAATCAGTGGCTCCTGCTGTGTGGAGTCCTGAGCATCTGGGTGTGGGGTGGGGTCCCAGGGCGGCTCATGAAGGGAAGGGGTGCCCTCCTCTCTCCCTTGCTCTCTCTGGGGGCTGCTCCTGGAGCCTGCGTTTGCCGCCCTCTGGCCCTAGGAAAACTACCTCATCCTTCCAGACCTGGCGTTTTCCTGCAAGTACAAGGTGACGGTGCAGCCCGTGCGGGCCTGGGGCCGCCTGAAGCCGGAGACCGTGTTCTTCAGCACCCCACCCTGCTCTGCACTCAGGGGCAAGAGCCACAAACTTGTTCGCTGCCCCGGGGAGTCAGGTGGGTTACTCAGGACAGGGCAGACTCAGCGGGCGCCAGGACCATGTGTCCACAGAGCCAAAGGCTCCCATATCTCCCACGGGGCTGTGGTGGCCAGATGGGGGCTGATACATTCCCCAAGAGTCCTGCCCCAGCCTGGCTGTGCGTCCCCTTCAGACCTGCAGCCCAGTGTGGCTCTGGCGCGTCCCTGCCATGTGTGGCAACAGTCCCCTTCAGCGATCACAAAGGAGCCACCAGTTCACACGGGCCACTGCCACGTGAGCCACCAGTCCACACGGGCCATTGCCATGTGAGCCACAGTCCACACAGGCCACTGCCACGAGTCCCAGACCACACAGGCCATTGCCACGTGAGTTGCAGTCCACACGGGCCACTGACGTGAATCACCACCATATAGCTGATCCATACAAGCGACCAGAGTAGCCACCAGGGGACACTGGCCACCACTCCACGAGCCACTGACACGTAAGCTGTAGTCCCGCTGTAGACCCCTTTGGTGTGGCGCGTGCAGCTCTCCCGCTAGCACCCAGACCAGCACTCTGAGTGCCACCCCTCTTGACTGCAATCCGAAGCCCGCTCTGGGCACCCTGCAGCCCACTGGGCCTCTCCCTGGCCAGCACCCATCTCCCGCAGCTGAGCAGGAGGGAGTCGCAGCCCTGAGACTGAACCCTGTTTCCTGTCTCCCCCCGCATCCCCCAGGTCCAGCACTCGCCAAGGTGCTCGCCAAGCCTGAGAACCTCTCTGCGTCCTTCCTGCTCCAGGACGCCAACGTCACAGGCCACTTCTCCTGGCAGGTGGCCAAAGCCAACCTCTACCCGCCCCTCAGTGGCTTCCAGGTGACGTGGGCTGAGGCAGCCCCAGAGAGCCGGCACAACAGCCTACCCAACAGCCTCATCTCACAGTCACAGATCCTGCCTTCGGTGCGTGACACCCCACCACAGTCGTGGCACCCGACCACTGAGCCCATTTGAAGGCTGGAGCTCCAGGGGAGGGGGTAGGGGGTGGAGAAGAGCTCAAGGCCTTGCTGTTCCCCTTCCCCTCACCCTGCATGTGTAGCCAGTCTGCTGTTGGGCCACTGAATTCCGTGGCTTGGGGTGGCAGACTTCACTTTGCCACGTGAGGGCCTGGACCCTCTGCAGATGCCCTCACAGGCTGGTCGAGCTGGGTCCTGAGGGAAGAGAACCAGTGCTGCAGGCCCACGGGAGCCCACGAGCTGGGACAGCAAGTGGCCACCCTGTGTTGGCTTGAGCACTGTTGGGCTAGGGTGATGTGAGAGTTGGGGGTGTGGCCACTGGTGGTGGTTTGTTCCTTGCACTGGGATTCCTCAAGAATTCATATTGTGGGGTTGGAGTGACAGGACGATGGGGTGGGCATTTGCCTTGCATGTACCAACCTGGGTTCAATCCCCGGCATCCCTTATGGTTCCCCAAGGACCCCCAGGGGTGATTCCTGAGTGCAAAGTCAGGAGTGGCTCCAGAGCACTGTCAGGTTATGAACCAAGAAAGCAAAAAAAAAAAAAAAAGAGAGAAAACGAAAGCATTGCCTTTGAGCATAGCTGACCTGGGTTTGGTCCCTGGTGTCTAAATGGTCCCCTGAGCCCTGGCAGGAGTGATTCCTGAGTGCAAAGCCATGAGGAGGCCCTCAGCACTGCTGACTCATGTCACACAGTGTATGGATGAGCATGTCAAGCCACAGGAAGGCCGAGGGACCCCAGGGGTGACACATACCATGAGAGCAGTGCCCAGCATCCAAGACAGAGGCCACTGTGGGGGGAGTTCAGGGTGTACATGGGAGTGTGGGTCCTTGACGAGAAGCAGCGGGCTGCTCTTCACAGGAAGTGGCCCCCTCTCTCCTTGACCTCCCCAGGACCACTCCATGCTGACCGTGCCCAATCTAAGGCCAGCCACCCTCTACCGCCTGGAGGTACAGGCACTGACGACAGGGGCCGAAGGCCCAGCCACCGTGCGCACCTTCCGGACGCCTGACCCACTGCCGCCATCAGCACACAGTGAGTCACACACATCCACGCACGCACACATGCACGCTCATTCTGTGTGCCATGGTCAGGCAGCCCCCGCAGGGCGTGCCAGGGAGTGGAGCCTGGTGTGCGCGCTGAGCCCACCTGTCAACCCCAGGAGGTTCAGGGATGTTTCTGATGAGCCGCAGCCTTACGAAGGGAAGGGGGGCACATGGGCAAGGGGTCCGAGGAGAGGCAGACGGAAAGAATGGAGGGGAGACGCATGCGAAGGAACAGTGACAGAGGACAGGGGCGAGAATAAGTGAAAGCGGATCCACCGGGAAGGGCATGCATGAGAGAACGAACGAGCAGGGGATGGGATAAAAGGATGAAATGGATGAAGGAAAAGACATGGGACAGAGAGTCAGTGGAGGAGCGTGAAGGACAATGGGAAGGCGTGAATGGGAACAACACGCACGGATGGGAGAATGAATGGCAGGGAGGAGTGAGTGATGGCCCTCACGCTAGCAGGGCCCCTCTGCTCGGCTGCCCTCCCGCCCCTGTCTCCTGAGGCTGCTGTCCTTCTCCGCAGGGCACCATGTCAAGCACCGCCCGCCACACCCCTACAAGCCTCCTCCCGAGAGGTACTAGCGCATCCGCAGCAGCGACGTGACTTCGTGGGAAGACCGAGGGCAGGAGACGGCCATCCCGAGTCGCCGAAGTCGGCGTCCACGTGCATGGGACTTGGCGGCTTGAGAGCAGGAGGCAGCGGCCCCTCCACCCCGACACCCCTCGACACCACCGGGCCACATTGACTTCATCAAACTGAACTTAGAAAGATGCCTTTGGCCCTTGTCGGCAAACAGGCTGTGAGGGGGCCAGCTGCCCTTTCTCGGCAGTCGACCCTCCCAGGCCGTGGCTCTGATCACGCGTGTGTGACTGGAAGCTCGAAGCAGGTCACCAATGACGGACCCATCCGGGCCATGTCCGAGAATTCTCCCTGTGGACGCCGTCAAGAGACCAGCGGGTAAATCCGTGCACCCCGATGGCCGAGCGAAGTGGCGGCTACAGTCTCCCAGCGGGGGCAGACGCTTTTTCCTGGAGTCTCCTTGGGCACTGCGGCCGCTGACAGGAGTGACCCCCTGCTCTCTTATTTATCGACCTCCCCTCTCCCTAGTTTCCCCCTCCAAGTGGAAATGACCATTTCACGCTGAGAAATTTGACACAACCCGCGGGAAACAGAAGAATCCCAAGCAGTGCGAATCCCAGTCTTGGCTGGCGTCTGCTTTCTGCCCGCCCCCCCCCCCCCCCAGCCCCCACGGAAGCGACTCGCCTGCACGCTCCATTACTCTCACTGCCGTTAGTGCCGGGGAGGGCTGCAGGGTGTGCACGGCGGAGATACCAGCACAAGTCATGTGGGATTCCGGGGGAGGGTGGGAGGTAGGCTCGGAGCCTTCAGGCCGGGTGGTGCTGAGAGAAACCCGGGCTTTGCGAAGGGGACGGACACCAGCTGCTGCTGAGGGCCACCTTGTTCCCCCTCCCTGGAACTGCACCTTTGGGGTGCAGAGCACGAGACCGCTTCTTATTCAAAGCCCCCACCCTGGAGCGGTCCTCTGAAACCAACCACACGTTCCCTCTGGCCAGCTGTGTCCTCCCTGTCGGAAGTGACCAGGAGTGCAGGAAAGTAGACCGTGTGTATCTGCAACCCCGCGAGCTGAACTTGCAGCCGGGCCATTTGAGGCTGGAGATGTTCTGCACAGTTTCAAATGCAGGCGTCAACAGCTAGGCACACCATCCGATTAAATTATTCTATGCTTTGAATTCTATAAAATTTACTACTCTTGTCTGGATCGAGGTTTCTTAAACCCTTTCCGCCTGTGACGCCCTTGTCGCCCGAGAAAGTTCGTGGGGCGGGGGGGGGGAGGGGTGCTGCCAGAAACAGCTCGGATTTATGAGCCCTTTGGATCTCCATGAACCTTAACAGCTGCCAAATGTTTCCTGGCCCACAGTTTCAGAAGTTTAAGAGAACAAAGGCGGAGCAAGCTTAGTTCTAGTTTGGCTAAATGTTCTAATGCGGACCCTTAAAAGTAAAACAGCTCCTACGAGCGGCTAATTTTGCTATCATAGTCATTTAAATTTAATCTCTAAATTTTGCTATCATAGTCATTTAAATTTAATCTCTAAATTTTGCTATCATAGTCATTTAAATTTAATTTCTATGACTGGAAGAAGACACTGATGAATATATTAGGTAATAACAAAAGAAACCCAGGCTTTACCCTTGACGAATCTCAATAATCCGCAATAATATTCAGAGGAACAAAGATCCTTTTTTACCCCCCACCCCCGTATTTAAAAAGAAAAAGAAGCCCCTTACGTTCCTTAATAAAGGCATACAGTTAAAACCACAGTCTTCACGGCTATTGTTTGCGTGTGAGACACTGACGCCTTCTCTAACACTGCCAATGAACCCTCACTGTGGGCCATGGAAAGCAGAACTTGACTTCATTCCCCACCTCGTGCTCAGACTGCGGCTCTCTGCAGGTCCCAGACCACACACACACACACACACGCACACACACACACCTTCCAGAAGGGATGGGTCGAGTGGCCACTGTCCAGCTCCCCGTGCCCCAGCAGGAGTTAAAGCTCAGCCAAGCTCCCCGCTCTCGCCGTCCCACAGCGGGGACCCTGGACGCCTAATCTGGGTGTCAGACTGGCAGGTGGTGGGCAAATGCCCCCTCAGTCACCCCTGGGAGTGGCATGGGCCCAGCTCTTTAGAGTGGACAGAATGTCACGGGGGGAAAGGGACATCCAGAGTCAGGACACGCCCTCATGTTTGCTGTGGTCCTGCCACACTAAAGGCCACTCTCTCCGATCCTGCCACCCAGGGGGTCATGTCACTGAGATGTCTCATATCACTCTCCCTAGGTGTGGGGGCTCAAAGGGGCCCCTCATGAATGGTGCGCCCCTTCGGGGCTGATGCTCGCACCTGCCGCAATGGTCTGAGGACCACATGTATGTGTGTGTCTGTGTGTGACTTTGTGATTCTATGTGTGTTTGAGTTTGTCTGTGATTGTTGTGAGAGTTTGTGTGTGATGGAGTGTGAGGTCTTGTGTGTGTGAGGTGGTTTATGACTGAGGAATCGTGTGTTTGAGCGTGTGATTGTGAGGCATTGATGGTGTATACCTGTGTTTGTGATTGTGTGTGTGATACTGTGCACTGTATGAGTATCTGGTTGGGTCGCTGTGTCTGCGTGTTGTGTATGAGGAAGTGTGTATCTGAGTGTGATTGTGAATGTGTTGCATGTAAATACACATACAGTGGTATGTGTGACTGTGTGTACATATGTATGATTCAGTGTGAAGGTGTGTGTATGTCTGTGATTTTGAGTCTGCCTGTGTGAGTGTGTAAGCTGCGAGTGTACGTATAAGTGTGTTTATGTCAGTGTGACTGTAGAGGTAAAGTGTCGACGTGTATGTGTGTGCTTAGTGTGCCTATGTATATGTGTTACTGTATGACTGTGTGAATGTGTGTATGACTGTGACTGTGTTTTCATGTGTGTGTGTGTGTGTGTGTGAGAGAGAGAGAGAGAGAGAGCGAGAGCGAGAAAAGGAGAGGGATCAGCTGCGGTTGGATCTGTGTGGAAGCACCAATGTCGTAGGAGCAGGAAGCCAGGCTTCCGTAGGGGTCCCCCTGGGCTGTCTGTTGGCAGGGCAACCCGATGTTGGCTGCATCTGTGGGCGGGGCGAGCTCCCGTGGCACCGCTCCGTGGCTTCTCAAGCTATTGGCGCCCTGCAGCACACAGGCCAATGCCTGGTTGGCAGGAAGAACATTAAGTAAGGCTCATTGCGTCAGGGTGCAAAGGGAGACTCCTGGATGTGTGCCCCCACCCTGCAGAAGCCCACCTTCCTCAGGGAATCAAGGATACCCAAGGTCACCCTGCCAGAGGCATGGGGGTAGCCACAGGACTGGCTGCTGTGGTTACTGCAGGAAGGGACAGGGAAGATTCCACAGAGCTTTGACAGGGCTCGGCTTCTTGGCTGAGGGTTGGGGGTGGCTATTTGGCCCACACCTCATTGGGGGAACCCTTGGTAGCATCCTCTGAAACCAAAGGGCAAGGTCCACCCTATCCAGCCAGCCCAACATTGCACAAGTGGATCCTTTACTTTGGGTGCTGAATCCTGTTTCTCACGGGTGTCTGGTCACGTTGGGCTGTCGGGGGTGCAGTGGGATTCCCTCCCTTCCAGAACTGACGCTTAAGTTTCCTGCTCCTAGGAACAAGCAGATTCTACTGAGACAGATCAACCCCCAAAACAAATAAAGATGATTTGATAGGGTTCCCCCCCCCGCCTCAGGGTGCTAAGGGAACCCCAGGAAACCTTCCTACGGAAAACCCAACCCGCACTTACCCCATCTTCGACACTCCCATGCGGCCGCACAAAACCAAAGAAATGGAGTGGGCATCTGAGTCTGCCATGTCAGGGCCGACGCCGTGCACAGACCGGCTGAAAGCAGCCCGGGGCCTGGCCTGGTGCCATGGCTGCGAGGGTCTGCACGTATGCACTGCTATGTGGGCAGACACACACGCATGGATACATGGACACATGTGCGCACAAACTGCTATACGGACAGACACACGCACTGCTACGTGGACAGATGTGTGGACGCATGGACACTTGCGCGTACACATTACTATACAGACAGATGCACAGACGCACAGATGCACGCACACACTGCTACACGGCCAGATGTGCAACCGCACCGATAGAGGCGCATGCACACATGGATGGACACATGCGCTGAAGGACACACGGACAGACATACGCACACACTGATGCACGCAGAGATGCACACACTCCCACTCTGGCACACGCTGACTTGAGGACACATGCAAGAACAAAGACCTGCAAGGGACTGCACGTTCGCACCAATGCACAAAGTGATGTAAGGACAGATGCGTGTACACACTGACGTTAGCGTGTGGGGATGCACGGAAAAATGCATGCCTCGATACACGCATGCGCACACGAACGCACGCACATAGAGACTCACAGAGACACGCACTGAGGCAACTGCACACGGATGCAGGAACAGACGCATGTATGTTGACCAGTGAGGACCTACACTCGATCATGGACACACACACACACACACACACACCTGATACACAGATGCACGGTCATGTGCATGCACGCTCAGAAGCACATGCTCAGGGACACACGTGGAAAAAACGCACTAACACAGAGATGCACACCCGACAGACGCAGGGAAAGCAGCAGGCACGCAGGATGCCCGCATGCACATAGTTCACACAGATGCGTGCACATGTGCACGCCACTCTGCACCTGTGAGCTCCGGGTCCTTGGAAATCACTGCCGTGGGCTACCCTGGGCAGCGGAGGCTTCTGCGCCCACCTGCCCTGCGGGTCCTGCGCTGCGCCTCTGCCGCACGGCTCACTAGGCGTCAGGGTGCAGCCGCCCCAGGGGGTGGTGGGCGGTGGGGAACAAAGAACCTGGGGTTTCATGGTGCGGACTTCCGTGCAGGTACCCAGCACCCCAAGGGCCAATTCCTCCAGTGCTTCTGAGGAGTCTGTATTGCATTAAGCAACGTCCGCACTCAGTGGCTAGGCTGGGAGGAGATGCCCTGCAATGCTCAGGCCAGTGGCTGGTGGTCAGTGCTCCAGCTGGATGTGAGGCTGG